GTTTACTATCTTGGATTACTTTTCTATTGCCTCAAGTATGCTCTTTAGGAATGAGGTTTTACTACTGGCAAGCAATGACTCTCAGTCATTGTTGGCTGAAATGTGTTTATCTTGCCCTTATTTTTTGACAGCTATATTCCCTGAATCTGTACTTATTTTAGGGTTGACTGTTATTTTCTCTAACCACATTGAAAATATGCTTCCACTGCTTTCTAACTTTGTTACTATTAAGAAATCAAAACAAATCTAACTTTGTTACTATTAAGCCTAACTGTAAACATCTCTCCTTCAAAAGTCATATGTTTCATGATGTTTTATTGTTTATCTATTTTATCTTAAGTTCTTAATTTTCTTCTTTGAGATTTGTTAGATTATTTTAAGGTTGTGGATTGGTGAATCTCATTGGTTGAGAAAAACTTCAACCATTGTCACCTTAAGATTTCCTCTACCCTTTTATCTCTTATTCTCTTTCAACAATCCATCTTTTACCCCTTAAACTCTGGATTATTAAAAATACGTATTTTGAAGCCTATCAAAAATTGGATAGAGTAATTCCCCAGTGGGAAAGTGAACCATAGAAAGACACACCTTCCCTTTCTCCTGTAACAGGGATTCACTTCCCATTTTTGGTTGATCCTGCCTTGAGGCTGCCTATTTGCCTCCTCCTTCCCAGAATTTATTTGCTTTCCTTTCATTTTTCTGTTGAACATCTATGTTCCCTCTTGGATGATACAGTCAATGTGTAATTGTCCGTTCACTGTTTTGATTTCTCTAAGTGGATGAGGAATGCTTTTAGTCGGCCATATTGGCAAAAACACCTCAGCAATTTCTATAATTACTAAAGAGCTGTGCAATTCTAAATAACATCTCCATTGTGGAGTATAATGGAAAATTGTGATCCCTCTTATAATGGAAGAATAATGGGTGTAATGAAGGACCAGGTCCCCCATTACAATATCTCACAGTTCCATTTTAGTGTGAGATACCAGTGGTTGGACTATTTCAGTGGTTCCAGAACCAACTCACAGGGTGACTTTGAGCCCATCCTAATCATTCAAATCAATGTCCTTTACCCTCTCTTGCTTCTAGTAGATGGCTCAGAGGATACACCCTGGAAATTATAGCTCTCACTCTCCCACTTTACTGGGAACAAGGAGAGGAGATAGTTGCCTCCACTACACAGGCCTGAGTCACCAGGAGCAAACATCACCTGGGAGGCTTGTGGTGCTCAGCAGGGGTCCAGGGCCCATGGGTCTTTCAGAATAGCAGGCATCTCTCTGGTTCTAAACTGGAAATTCCTTCTGTCATGTCATGGTGTGGCTCATGTTTCTTCTCTCACTGCAGAGTTTTTCTGAGGTTTGATGTGGTAGCCACTTGGCACAAGTAACTATTTAACTTCAAATAAATTAAAATGAAATAATTTTTAAAATTCAGTGGTACAATCCCACTTGTCACATGTCAAGTGCTCAATAGCCACTGTGGCTGCTGGTCTCCATATTAGGCAGCATCAAGGAATCCCAGCCCTCCAGGAAGGTCTGTTTGTGCTAATGAATGACAAGGAGCGCAGGTCCCTGCACAAACCAGTTTAGACAGTTCCTCCCCTCACTTCCTCTCTGCTCCTCTTTCTCAGTATCCTACTGCATTGCCAGCAAAATTAGAGAAGGGTGCAGGACCCAGGTCTTTCAGGTAGGAGGAAAAGGTACGTGTTGGGGGGGGGAGTGATTTAGGCGGAAGGGGCCTCTCCCCTGGGTGTGTACCCTAAACTTCCTGGAAAACTTACTCTGAGAATAGATTTCTTGCTATTTTCTGTTTCCTGTTGCTGTTGATTTTGTGCTGAAATCTGTTTTGAAGACTGAAGCCTACAGATTAATGTCTCTTCCAGGGCTGCTGCCTAGAGGATACTTGTTTTACAAGTAAATGAGTCCTTTCATTGATTACAAAATGTATAAGTATACTTTCATTATTTCAGGAATAAATTTGGGTGAAGAAACACAATTAGCACTGGGAAGCTGGTAAAGAGAATATTGGGCTATGTAGGTGTCTCAGCTCAGCCAGCAGCCCCCCCAAAGCCCACACATAGATCAGGACTGGAGGGTTTGTGGTCGGAGGTTTTATCACTAAGGAAAATGTCTCCTAAAGAACAATACTTTCCTGGGTTACTGGAATTTGAATTCCCCTGAGGAGGCAGGAGGGAAGAGATGCTACCCGTGTGACTCCATAGTTCCATGGAATCTGGGGACTGTTGTCGGGGCCCAGGACTGGCCAGGTCTCGGGCCCAGCTTAGGTAGGTTCTGGGCACAGACCACTAAGCTACCTTGCTCAGGAACAATTTCTCGTAGGTGCTTGAGGGCTATCTACTTTAGCTGGAGAGAGAGAGACAGAGTATCTTAGAGAGAGTAAAGGTCTTCTTAGAACAGATAGCTCTTAGTCTTTAGCAGAGCTTGGTAATCTTCAGCAGAGATGCCGTGCTGGCGTTCTGCAGGCAGGAGAGGAGACAGAGTCAAGAGTAAGTGGATCCGTGATAAAATGCGCATGCCTCTTGACTGCCTTCTCCTCCAGCCTAAGATAAGGCTGAGCTCATGCGTCTCAACACCACAGGTGTAGAGACTGCCAATTCACCAATGCTCTCATCTCGCGAGCTCACTCATGCTTGTTAGAACCAAATCTCTTTCCATGCCCTTTTCACCAAGGTGTTCCATTACAGGTATTTCCTATAACTCTCACTCCTCCTAGCCATAGGCTACACGGGCTGCTACAGACTGTTTGGATGCTTGTTCTTTAGGCAGAGAGAGCGGAACTCGGCACTCCAAGGTCAGCACCTAAAGAAGCACAGTCTCCTGGTTTTGCATCTGAGTTAGCATCAGCAGAGCAGCATTAAAGAGCCCAGGTACTGGAAGCAGGACCCTAACAAACACCCAGAGCCCTCTGTTTTCTCATTGCTGCTATCCTATGTCCTTTCCTGACACTAATCACCAAAGCTGATATTTTTAATTTCTTTTTTTTATTAAATGATAGCTGTATACATTAATGCAAACATGGGGTACAGTGTAGTGTTTTCATATACATTTTGAAATACTTTCATCAACTTGTTTCACATAAATTTCATGTCATTTGCATAGTGATTGTGTCAAAATATTTATATTCTAGTTCTAGAAAAGTTCACTTGTACCCTTGTTAGAAATATAGGTCATCTTTCTGGTCACCCTCCCCCCACCCAGCCACCCTTCTCCCCTCCCCTTCCCCACCCCCTCGATATTTTTAATTTCTAAGATTTCCCTTTTCTTTTTATGAGAAGCTGTTTCCTACTCTCTAAAGAATAACACAATAACCCTTCTTTCTGAACAAGTGTCTGGCTTTTGACAATGTTTCATATCTGTGTTTGATGGCTTCCTATCTAGTGACTCTGTCTGTAACAACTGCCATTTTCTACCTATCTTCATCAAAGTCTGCTCCAATAAGAATTCCTCAAATGTCTTTCTCCATTGGAAAACATTTGTAGGTAACAGTGAAAGGGCTCAGCCTTGGACAGGTTCTGGATGAGTGCCTCTGAACTTGCCCATTGGAGAAGGTGAGTGGGATATAAAAATGTGAAGGGTGAGGAGGGTGCAGGCTACAGACTATGTATAAAAGGCATCAGTGCAACAAATCACTGGTTAGAAAGGTGGGGAAGAGCCAGAACCCGTGCTGCAGAGGAACTAGAAGTACTTATGGTTCTGTAAGAAAAATGACCAATCTGAAAATAAGACCAAAAATGGATAGTTAAAGACAATTTGAGGAAATGGGAGAAATCAAAATACCAAGTTTGGGGCAAAAAGAAGTGTTACCTACAGGCACTGGCCATTTTCCTAAATAATTATGTTTCTTGATCTATAGGAGTTAAAGCCACAGTGGCAGCCCCATACCATGGTGTGAGTTCCAGCTGTGGCCACCCAAGGCTGAATCACAGTGAGAGGGTGTCCAGGGCTTCCCTCTAGACCAGCTGCAGGGGGAAGAGCAGAGCAGAGCTGGGGATTCCTCCTACCATGTCAGCCATCTCCATCTGAGCAAGAGAAAACCTTTTACAAACTCCTTTCTCATTTTCTCTTCGTTCATCCTGCTCTTTTATTTCTTTTGACCTTTTACATTTTCTCCTGTGGAAGAAAGGAGAAATGGCCACAGAAGCTAAGTTATGAAAAGAGATTAAAATATCCTCTGCTCCATCCAGAGCTTGACAGCTTTTTCCCTCCTGCTTCCTACAAACTTAACACAACAGAACCACTGGTTGGGGCCTCCCTGGTTACATTTCTGCCCCTGTCCTTGGCCTGGTGACAATTCAGAAGGAGGATGAGGAAATAATTGATCCCTCATCCACATCCCCAATTTTGTGGCCACTGGTGATCTCTGTACAACCAACAAATCTAACAGGCTGACTCACCTGGTGTTATCAATCACAGGGCCTTTCCTTCCCTGCCTTAGCCATGGAAATGGACTGTGTCAGTTGAGTGTTTCTTGGTTTCCAAAACTATCCCACAATTTAGCAGCTTGAAACATCAACTATTTAGTTACTGGGTCAGCTGGGCAATTCTTGGGTCTGGACAAGCTTGGTTCGTCTCAGGCACTCACCCATACTTCTGTGGTCAGCTCATGGTCAGTGTGCACTGGATGGCCTTGGATGGCCTTGCAGACATGTCTAGGGTGAGCAGGCTCTTGGATAGGCCAGGGTGGTCAGGATCATCAGTAAGTGGGCTAGTCCAGGCTCCTTCCTCAGGCGGTGAAGGAAGAGCAGAAAGACAGCAAGCCACCATGCACAGTGCTTTTGAGCCTCTGCCTGAGTCATGCTTGCTACCGTCCTATTGTCCAGAACAAGTCATACGGCCAACCCACAGTCAAGGGTTGAAGAGACAAACAGTATCCTCATGGAAGGAACTGGAAATCCACAAGAGGCACGTGTGCAGGGATGGGAATAATTTGTAGCTACATCTGCAGTCTCCTCCAGGGATTGTCGTCCATACACCATCAACATGAGGAAACTGCTGCAGAGCTGGAGTGGGTCCCTGGCACCTTTCCATTTTACCTCCCATGCCTTTCCTACACCCCCTCCCATGACTGACAATCCTCAGGATGTCCTTAGAATGGACTCTCCCACTGTGATGCTATTTGTACAATAATGTAAAGACAAGTACATATTTTTCCTTTGATCAGAAAGACTAATCTTAGTCTTCTTCTCAGCCATATAACTTTTGGAAATATACTTCCCTTATCCCAAAATCCTGATTATCAAATGTGCATAACTGTGGCTTAATGATAATTGTGGTTTGTACAACTCAACAGCATGACTTCTTAATGGGCAGAGGAAATGCTCCAATTTCTATACAAGTTAAAAATATAAATCTCAGCTCAGTACCTGTAGCTCAAGCAGCTAAGGCACCAGCCACCTACACCACAGCTGGCAGGTTCAAATCCAGCCCAAGCCTGCCAAACAACAAAGATGACTACAATCAAATAGCTAGCTGGGCCTTGTGGTGGGCACCTGTAGTCCCTGCTACTTGGGAGGCTGAGGCAAGAGAATCACTTAAGCCCAGGAGTTCGAGGTTGCTGTGAGCTATGATGCCACAGCACTCTATCCAGGGTGACAGCTTGAGGCTCTGCCCCCCCCCAAAAAAAAAATCCACTGCAGATGCCCTAATGTCTTATGCTACTTCCTGCACCTTATTAGGAGCAGCTATTAGCAGACACTCAGAATAATCTTTTGAAACCATTTTCTTTCTTCTCATGTGGGCTAAATAGCTGGAAGAGATCAGAGTAAGAAGCTCAGGGGGTCCTGAAGATAGGAAGCAGAGGTCAGGGCTGGTTCTCAGACATTTGACTGTGAGCATCAGGTGCAGAGGGCTTTCTGCAGACTCCCTGGAGTGTGGACATAGCAGGGAGAAGCCCACAGCCTGCAACAGACAACGGCCCGGGCCTGAGGGCTCTGCCCTGGGAACAGTTGCAGGTAGAATCTGACAGTGCGGCTTTTGTTTCCTTCATGTTCCAGGGCCCGGAAGCCAACTGAGAATTATCTTAGTGGGTAAAACTGGAGCAGGAAAAAGTGCAACAGGGAACAGCATCCTCGGAGAGAAGGTGTTTGATTCTCGCATGGCACCAAAATCCATTACGAAGACCTGTAAGAAAGGGAGCAGGATGTGGGAGCAAACAGAACTTGTCATGGTTGACACACCTGGCATTTTCAACACCGAGGTGCCAGATGATGACACATGCAAGGAGATTGCTCACTGCATGGTTCTGACCTCCCCGGGGCCTCATGCTCTGCTCCTGGTAGTTCCACTGGGCCGTTACACTGAGGAAGAGCGTGAGGCCACAGAGAAGATCCTGAAGATGTTTGGGGACAGGGCTAGAAAATTCATGATTCTCTTATTCACCCGAAAAGATGACTTGGAGGGTACCAGTTTCTGTGATTACCTAAGGGACGATCCAGAGCACATTCAAGAGTTGATGGCCAAGTTTGGTGATCGCTACTGTGTGTTCAACAATAGAGCAACGGGTGCTGAGCAGGAGGCCCAGAGGAAGGAGTTGCTGACCCTGGTCGAACGCATCGTGAGGGAGAATGAGGGAGGATTCTACACTAATAAGGGGTACGAAAGGACTGAGCAGGAGATTCAGAAACAAACCCAGGTGCTGCAACAACATTACAGAGAAGAGCTGGAGAAGGAGAAAGCCCGTATCAGAGAGGAATATGAAGAAAAGATCAGAAACCTGGAAGATAAACTGGAGCAGGAGAAAAGAAGGGCACAAATGGAGAGGGAATTAGCAGAAAACGAAGCTCTCTATGTTGTAAAGCAGCAAGGTGCTAGAAGGGAGGTTGAAAGTCAGAGTCGGATAGTTGAAATAATCTTGAAGGTGTTGAGTATTGCTGCTTCCTTTGTTTTCTCATGGTTGTTTAGGGAAGATGAAATTTAATAAAAAATTGTATTTTCTGCATATTCTCTGCAAACCTTGCCCCATTCCACTCATTTATCAAGGTCAGGGTGCTCCCATTTCTATCTCTCAGGCTCTCAGGACTAAGGCGTGCAGTAAATTTCACTGCTGGAAATTGGTAGATGTTTGGTTGACTTAGCAGGAGAGGGACTAATTCTCCAGCTCTCAAACTCCAAAGTACTATGTGTTGGTGCTGACTACCTTCTGATTTCTAACTCAGACTCACAGAGAAAAGGAAGGCAGGAGACCAGAGAAGAAGACCTCATGCTGTAGCCTTTTTTCCTTGGCAAACGTTTCTCTTCTAGATTCTGTCTAGTTTGGCAGATTGTCTCTCCTTGTAGCTGCTACTCATATTTGCCTTCAGGACCCTATTATTATGAGGATCAATTCTTTGCTTTAGGTAAACCTAAGAATGGAAATGGTTGTAAGATTATTTCTAGATAAATGTCCATTTGTTTAATTACATTGTCACATAAGGACTCAAGTTGTTCCAAAGACTTGTCTGGAAAACAGACCTCTGCGAACTCAACTTAGTAGGGATCCCCAAATACCAGAAAGGGTGAAAGGGCAATTCAACAAATAACAGGACAATGTTTGGTGTATTCGGGTGTATCTGCAGAAACTCTTTGACCAACCTCAATTTAACCGATTTGATAAGTGACTAGTTCTTTCCTTTTCTTGATAGACAAACCTCTGGTTGTGACCCCACCTCCCTCACCTTGAGCACTGATTGCCTGGCAGCTCATCTGCACACTTCTGCCTCACCCAGCTGAGTGTTTGCTTATTGTTATTATAATAAAACTTTTCCGTTTTCTCGTATTTGTGCAAACTTGTAATCTGTTTTTCCTGAAAAATACCACTTCTACTCTAATAATACAAGGATGAATTTCACTTTTTGTTCAAGGTTTGAGATCATTTTGGAGCTAAACATGGTCTACCCTAGGCAGCACCTGTGGCTCAAGGAGTAGGGCGCTGGCCCCATATGCTGGAGTTGGCGGGTTCAAACCCAGCTCTGGCCAAAAACTGCAAAAAAAAAAAAACCATGGTCTACCCTCATATCTTGTCCCCTTTAAATTCTCAACCCATTCACCAGCCAAAGATCACTACCTCTTTAGCTCTCAGTATATGCTAATGGAAATTATATGTAACTAAAGTTCCTAAGACCTGTGCATTTTGGTGGTGCAGAAATCCCTTAGATATATAGATAGCAATATAAATAATATAATATATATTAATCATATATAATAGTAACATATATAATGTATTAATAAATATATTGAAGTTTCTATACCTTTTCTGCCTTTCTACTGGGTTCTGCTAACCTAACAATTCTAGGAATCCTCAAAGCATGTTCCCTCAACGTGTTCTGTTGTCACATGTGACTTTCACCAACTTTCCTTCTTCTACCACCTTGAAATTGGCTTTTCTATGCCCTAAACCATTTTGTCCATAATAGGACATACACCTCTTCCTTATTTCCCCAGGGCACAAATGAATCTAGACTGTACATCAAACAAAAGTTAGCAAAAGCTGGAGGATTAAATAGGCAACACACAAAGACGTGCACAATTCTTTTAGAAATAGTCACCCAGAGTAAGGCATTTTCTGTGGCACTCTGCAGAAAATGCATGTGCTTAGTGTCTACAGTTTTCATCACTGGAGTTTTAGCCAAAATTCTGAGACATCAAAGATGAGATCCTTTTGCATTACAACTTTCACTTAGCAAATATTTGAACAAAAAGCCATACTTACCTCCCATGAGAAAGTAATATGGCCTAAGATGTGATCAATCTTAGAGACTATTCCATGAGCTGATGAGAAAAAAATATATATTCAGTAGTTTTGGGGTAGTGTGTTCTAAAAATGTCTGGGAGTGTCCTAGAGTGTTTTTTAAGTCCCTGGTTTCTTTGTTTATTTTCTGCTTAGAGGATCTGTCAAGTTCTGCCAGTGGGGAGTTGAACTCACTGGCTATTACACCAGCTGTGGTTTATCATTTTGTTTGGATCAAATAGGATTTGCTTTATGAATCTGGGCACTCCTCTGTTAGGTGCATACTTAGGATTAAGTTAGGATTACGTTAAATCCTAGATACTTAGGATTGTTATATCTTTTTCCTGAATTGTTTTCTTCACCATTATATAATGACTATTTTTGTCTTTCTTTACTTTGGTTGATTTCAAGTCTATGTTTTCTGATAGGAGAATTGCTACACAAGTATTCTTTTTGTTTTCATTTTAATGGAATATTGTTTTCCATACCTTAACCTTGAGTCTGAATGAGTCTGTGGGTTTGATGCATTCCCTGGTGACAGTAGATAGTTGGCTTGTCTTTTCTTTTATCTATTCAGCCAGGCTAAGTCTCTTCAGTGGGGAGGTCAAGTCATTCACATTTATTGAAAGAATTGATAAGTAGGGTTAATTTCTCTTCTTCCTCCTGCATAGAACTTTATTGCTTTGTGTTACCTTTTGAGGCATTGTGGAATCTGGACTCTTAACTTTAATATTTAGGTGGTTTTACACTAGCGGGTGTCTGTTGTGATGACTAGTGTATAATGCAGATCTGAGAACTTCCCACAGGGCAGGTCTTGTCTTCACAAGCTCCCTCAGCATTTGCTTGTCTGAAAAAGTCTTTATTTCTCCCTCTTATAAAAAACTTAGTTCTGTAGGATACAAAATTCTAGGCTGGCCACTATTCTGTTTGAGAAGATTGAGAATGGGGCCCCAGTCTCTTCTGGTTTGTGAGGTCTCAATTGAGCTCCTTCTGGTGCATAGGAATTCCACTTTTGAGTCAACTCTGGCCAGTATGATGACTATATGTCATGGTGATTACCTCTTGGTGATGAATCTTTCAGGAGTCTGTTGTACTTCTAATACCTGGATATCCAGATTTCTAGCAAGAGCTGGGAAATTTTTTCAAGTATTCCCTCAAATAGGTTTCTCAGCCTTTGTGTATTTTCTTCTTCAACCTCAGGTATGCCTATGATTCTTATGTTAGGTCTCTTTGCATAATCCCATGTTTTTGTAGCCTTTGTTAATTCTCTTATTTCTCTGCTCTTTTCCTTTGACTGACTTGTTTAATTCAAAGGTGTTATTGCCTAGCTCTGAGATTCTTTCTTCTGCCTGGTATAGCCTATTCTTAAGGATTTCCACCATGGTTTGTATTTCCTTAAATGTACTTTTCATTTCCAGAAGGTTTGCTTGATTTTGTTTTTGGTAATTTGATTTATTCATTCTTTTTCTTCATTGTTTTTGTGGTTTCTTTGTGTTGAGTTTCCATTTTTGCTTGTATTTCACTAAGTTTCCTTACAATCCATATTCAGTATCTCATTTTTGTTGTTTTCCATTGGCACGGGGTTATTGTTTTCTTTTGGGGGTATTTTTTCACTCTATTTTCCATGTATCTGGAGATCTTTCTCTGATTTCTTCTCATCTGGAGCAGCTTTTGCTTCTTGTTTTTGGATTTTCTTTTATTTAGAAAATGGCATGCCTAGTTTAATCTCTGAGACAGTAGGTGGTGCTTGTGAGTGAGACTCAACTACACTTTGTATGACTGAGTCAGTAAATGCTACAAGGGGCCTGTAGATTGATCTCCCAGTCAGTAGTGGCACTTTGCAGAAGGAACAAGCAGCAATGTTGATTTTGGATCCTATGACCAGCTCTAGTCCCTCAGGAGAAGCACTTGAATGCCACAGGTGCTAGGTGGGAATTCAAATGAATACTTATTCTCTGCCACAGCCAAGGGGGTCTGGGGAATGCAGCTAGGTAGGGTTGGGTGAGCTTGCCCTCAGGATCCACCAAAACTGGCAGGTATCTCTTTTAAGAGTCAAAGTCTGCCCCCAGGTTCTAGGAAAAGCTGCCAGGGAAGGGCTATAGTGGCCTCATCCAGTCACTAATCTCCCCTCCTTGCCCTGACCAATGTGACTGAGACCAGTATATATGGGATCAGGCCTACAAGCCTGCCCCTGGGTCCCTGACAATCAATCCCTGACCTTGCCAGGGAGAAGTGCACTAATCCCAAGTTACCCGTGGTTGCCCAAGCAGGTTTGAAGTCCCTCTGCCTAGAGGACTGTCTAGCCCTGATGGAGTCACTGGGCAAGTGGCACCAGGGAGGGTAAATGGGCAGAGAGCTTACAGTCTAAGCACCCCTCAGTATGCTACAAGACACCCAGTGGGAAGACCTGAGCTTTACTCTCTGTGGAAGCCTTGGCATGATGGCTCAATTGACTCTCTCACCAGATACAGATGGGGAAGAGGAAATGGGAGAAAAATAGGCTAGAAAGGTTTGTGCCCCACTCTCTGTGGAAGCCCTGTTGTACCAACCCAGAGAAAAAACAGTTCCTGGGACCCCCAGCTCAACTATCTCTCAGTATCCACTGGCAGATCAGGGAAAGATGAGAAAAAAGATGTAAATGAGAGAAAGCCAGCATCCTAGTTATCTCTGTCTCTCTCTCCAGAAGGCAACCCACCCAGAAAATCTAGGCTCTGAGGTCACCCAGATCCCCTGGGACCCACTGGCCCCCTGTGGCTCCTGCAGTCTAGACCAGGGTTGGGAAATGTTTGGTTGGGAACAAGCAAGAAAAAACTGAGGGGCTGAAGCTCTCTGAGGAGAACAAAGGTAATGGGGGCGGGGGGATATGGAGAAGCAATATGGTGCCTGCCATGTAAGCTTGGGTCTGTGGTGACAGAAAGTGACCCTGAGCTTGGTGCCTGTAGCTCAAGCAGCTAGGGCACCAACCACGTACACCGGAGCTAGCAGGTTCAAATCCAGCCAAGGCCACCAAACAACAATGATGACAACTACAACCAAATAAAGAAAAAGAAAGAAAAAATAGCCAGGCGTTGTGGCAGATGCCTGTAGTCCCAGCTACTTGGGAGGCTGAGGTAAGAAAATCACTTAAGCCCAAGAGTTGGAGGTTGCCATGAGCAATGCTGAATTTATTCCCTTATCATTCTATAATAACCTTCTTTGTCTATTTTTACTTTTGACTTAAATTATATTTTATCTGATATAAATATAACTAATCTTGCTCATTTTTATTTCCATTTGCATGGCATACCTTTTTCCATTTCTTTACTTTCACTGTAT